GAAGGGATGGGCATGGTCAACAACAATAGTCACGGTGTAAATGAGGCATAACAAAATATTCTTTACAGCATTACAACACCCGCAGATACATTGCAGGATTGATGCATGCATTTGTGTTGTTTATGCCAAATTCTTACCCAACCATCCAAGTGTTGCAGGACAAATCAAAAGATGTCGCAGCAGAAATTGAGACATACCAACAATGGCTTTTAATTTTCTGTTGTCCAATTTTGGTGAGCACATGTAAGCTGTAGCCTTAGTTTTCTGCTGTTCGTCTGCTGCTGTAGCACAGCCACTTTAAGAATTGACATGTTGCCTGTTCAGATATGCTCTTCTGGATATTTTGGTCATAACAAGATGTTGTTGGACTTAATGTTGTCTTCCTGTCAATTGAAAGCATTCTGGTCGTTCTCCTTTGACCGCTAGCATCAACAAGACTTTACTGCCCAAAGAAGTGCCACTTGCTGGATGCTTTCTCTCTTCCACACCACTCTCTGTAAACCCTAGAGATGGCTGTGCAGAAAAATACCAGTTTTAAGCAGTTTCTGAAACAATTAGAGCAGCTCATTTGGTACCAACAACCATGCCGCATTCAAAGTCATCTAAATCCCCTTTTTCCGCATTTTGTTGTGCCCAGTTTGAAGGTTGTCTTGACCATGTCTAAATGCATTAAGTTGCTGCCATGCTGCATTATTGAACTGTTGAAGAGGTGTACCTAAAGAAGCAGTAAGCGTAAGTCTTAGAGGTTTAAAACCTTTGGTCCTGGAGGGAACGAGACTGGGAAATTGTTTATTTTGCTGCCAAACAAGATAATTTAGAATTATGATACACCAGAATAATATACTGTGTATATAGTTTGCAACAACTCTGCTTATTTGCAGCACCCAAGGGACTGCCTGTTCAACTTAACATAACATTAAGGAATTATTTGTTTGTTAAAAAAAAGAACTTATCGGCTTTACAACAAGGAGCAAACAGCCAACTAACCTACGTCTGCCTACAGTAATCTGTCATTATAGAGTAACACGATAACTGAGTAGTTTTTGATAAGGCCACACACTATTTCTCCTACAGGCCTGTTTTCTTAGTGTTGTACTTCGACTACAACCACCGCAATGAGCTCTTGATCCTATCCCGATGCCTTATTTTTATCCCCCTTCAGTGTTTTTCTCAGTTGCCAAAAGGATTAAGAACCTATCTTTTAATACCGCTCGAACGTCAACTGTGCACGTCATCCTGCAGTCCTGAGGTGATTGACTTCCAGCACCAGCGTCTGGGAAACCAGCGATTCATCCCTGTGAGGAGATGTTTGCATTTTATATTAACCACAGTGGGTAACGCGTTAAGCAACTAAATCATGCAGCGGTTTTGGACTATTTAGTTTTATGAGGTGTGAGACCTTTGCTGTTCCGTTCACACTGAGCTCACTGCGAAGAGATGGAAGATCGCACCAATCTGTGATCTATGATCAACACCATCACGCTACTGTACAAATGAAAAAGTTAATAAAAGTATGATGTCATGTGTTAAATGGGACTGCTGCTAGCCTGCCCTCACCCTGCTAGTGATTAGCTCTCTACCCAAGCAAAGTGATGCCTGCTATTAAACTCCTGGGTCAAAACACAAGTTGCTCGCTAAGGACAAATTGCACAACTGATCCGATACATAGTGAAGCCCTGCATAAGTAACCAAAGAAGACAGGGAACGCCTATAGACTGAGGCGAGATTACCCACCTGATTCTGAAGCCATTCATTATATGGAAAGCTCTCTCTGCATAAACAATGGTTTAGAACTAAGAACCATAAACAGAGAATTTAGGCAATAAGCAGTTTTTATCTATGGATTTGACATTTTGCAGCCCACATATACTCCGTTAGTTCTTGTTAAGAAAGCTAATTTCCTACGAAAGTTTGATTCTCATGAACTGCTTGTCCTAGGAAAGAGGTTATCATCAGCCATCAGACTTTTTTTCATTCACAAGTGAAGGCAAATAAGCAAAGAAAGGAAATCAAATAGACTCAGCAAACGGTGCATGATTGAGAGCTCTATGACAAAACCAAAAACAGGGATAATGCATCAGTCAGACATTTCCCTCTGCCACGTCACGGCATTCCTCACTCAAGTCATCTCTGCATTACAAGCCAAGGGTGGAAACAGGTTATTGTGGTCATTCAAACAGAAAGGAAAAGTCTGGGATCTTATCAGAGTATGAGATCTTTATATAACTGTACTGCCCTCCGAGCGGTCTCATAAGGGAGCAGCAGAAAATATTCAATAGCATTGTGTCGCTGAGTCACTGGTGAAAAGCATTTATGTAATGAGAATCCCCCTTTAAACAATGCCATAGGCAACAAAAAGAGGAGACAAAGGACATCTTTGAAAATTCTGACAAAAGACAGTCTGTCTCTCTAACACATTTACCTAATGAAGGCATAAATAAAGCTTACCCCGATCCTTAAATGTTCACATCTTTGTAAACATCCTTTTATTTCTCTGGGTGTCCAGGAGCTCCTGTAAGAATCACAACCTCTGCTATCACATCCCTGTTTGAAGATGACTGCCACCTGGGATTTATATGAAAGTGCATTTTTAAAATGACAAGTTAAGTTGGTCAGAGAGTACGTCACTGAATCGGCAGCTCACCTCAACTTTACAGAGCTAGCATGCTGCAGCTCAGAGTTAAGCTATCTAGCATGCAACTCTTGCCAATCTCAAAGCATCATTAATAACCAGAAAAGTTCCAAAAGCCAAATCTGACTCCCCGATCAGAACAAAATGGACAATAAGTGCACTCAGTTACTTGCTATTGAACATAATTGAGCACATATCCGCTAAAGAAGCAGATCAAAAGTTGGCCGAGACTAAAAGCAGAGCTAAAATTGAGTATCTAATGTACATCTAGCAGATGAAACGAATCATAACACTATTGCCCCATAAGTGTGGAACTTGTAAATGAATGCTTGTATTGTGTCAGCGCTACTGTGATTTTAAGAAATGAATGGCAGTGAATGCCCCACCACCACCACCGGAGAGAATCCGAACTCAGGGGAAAGACTGGAACATGATCACATACCCTTGTGCCCTATCAAGTCCTGACTGGGCCTATTTGTTACAGTGGCTCTGAGAGGGGTTTTTTTGCGTTTCCCAGGTCATGGTTGAACTTCTCATATTTATGTTTGTCAAACTGAAGGCTGGCAGTCTAATTTGCTGGTATGTGTTTTCATTAGGTCTCTGGGGCCGAGTAAAGCTCCTTCGCTAACGTGGTTCCTCTGAACTTTGACCCTGGCTTTAATGGGAAGCCTGGCACAGAAGGTGGGGTTAAAGGGGGGTCAAGACTTCAGTAGGTCCACTTAGAGTTAAGGTAACAATTTGAGGAGGCATAACATGTTATGTAACCCTGTCGCTACACACTAATGACTCGGCAGAGCCTGAGGAATGTGGTCTTTCAATAGGTGTCTTTTACATCAGTTTCTGTTTGTGGAAACAAAATTAGCTTTGGTATGGTAAGATTGGACAAATCCTGCTCTGTGTGCTAGATAAGAGCTATGTAGGGCATGTGACCCACCACTGGAAAAGTAATCAGCCACAGGCCATAAAACCAGTACAGAAAAAACGTTCATACTGTCATTTTTTTTTTTAACTCTGTCGCTGATATTCCCTCAAGGCAGAGCAGCTATTAATTTCTTCACTGAAACATTAGAAATGTAGGCTGGTAGGAGTCTTTCAAGGACTTTTAGAGAGGACAAAGCACTGACAAAATTGCTATCATCATTTATTTTATCAATAGCTTTTTTAATACGTAGGTCCTATATTTGCATATCTAAAATCTAAAATAATAACCAAAATATTAATTGATTGTATAAGTAATGGTACCATCAAACTCCCATGGTTAGGAAGTCTTACCATCTACTGGAAAGAACACCAATCGCTTTGATAAAAGCAAACACCTCACAGTGTTTGATATCATGCTTTTATTTCACGTAGTAGAAACTGAGACCAGAAACACAAAATCCACTACTAGTTCTACTAGTATCAGATGGAGAAGTTGTTGTTTTTTGTTTTTTTATCTGTGCGCCGTTTTGTTTACTTATGATTGGCATAGACCTTGACCTTTAAAAGCTATATATGGAAAACTTGCAGGATGCACGCACATTAAAATTAGTGGACTTTCCAACTTTCGGTTGTGCCACATGACCTGATGTGTTATCTAATGAGATGCTTTGAATTCTTGTTGGATGACATAAAGGTTCAATGACCAAACAACGGGGGGGGGAGAATGCGGAAGGCTCTCAAACCCTCAGGGTAGCATCATGTTCATGACTGAGCTTAAATGTGACAACAGTCAATCTCACCTGTTCCACAGCTAAGCCCAGAGCAAGTATGGGGAAAACAAATACCAACGACATCAAGCATACTTTAAATATTTTTGAGCGTGAGAGTTTTTGTGTATGTTTGTAGTTTTAAACTATTTGGCTTGTTGTACCTATTGTTTGCTCTGGGAGTCCGTTTTGGAAGTTTTAATAGTGGTTTGTAAACACCTAGGTTTATATCTTATTAATTTGCTCTTGTGTACTTGGACGCTTATCTTTCTTTTAGAGTTTACCTTTATTTTAAGTCTAAAGCTGGTATGGTATCCTACGATTGACAGACTCATCCAAATGGCCTTATGTGGGGATATAAAATAGGTTTCTGTTTATATGTTTATTTTTCCTTATACTCGTGTATTTTACAACAGGCTACCGTTTAACCGAGTGATTGTTATCAGCTAAAGTTATACTTATACCAATCAAAGCGAAACTAATGCTATAAGTGTCTATTTATACGTACCTGCCGTGTTAAGATCGGGTCACTCACTACCGCATGCCAACCAGCTGGCTTGCACCTTGAGAAGTCCTGCTCTGCAAATTCATTGGCCTCTGCTGCTTAGCGTCAGCGCAGGGGGCGGGGCTCTGATGAGGACTTTACTGTCAGGAATGCATAGTAGCACTAAAACCCCACTGACTCTGTCGCGCTGCTGCAGACATCACCTTTATGTTTGGGACGCACTTAAGCTGGATTACATACCGGTGGTTTCGAACAGCTTCTGTAGCCTCTAACTGACCTTTTTTATTTAATAATTAATATTATGCGAGTTTTTACTTGAGCTTACAAGAAAGTCGTCTCCTTTTTTGTATTTATTTGGCGAGAAAGAACTGTTTCATTACACGGCACGACTTCAATGCCACCTTCAACAACCATGAACAAAAGCGGAATGGTTACAAAAATCAACACCAGGATAAGGACTGACCCGTTCGCTGGCAGCTACGAGCTGGTGGGCAAAGAACTGGGCAGGTAAGTTTGTTTGTTGCCTGAAGGTTTTCGTTTTTTTTCCTCCAAGCAGTCATTGACAAAAATCCTAATACCTTCGTGCGTTGGCTGGACGTTGCAACAATGTCTAAACAGATTTAGGCAAATCGCTTAATCATATTAGAGTTACTCTCTGCACGTGTTACTGGGAAGCCTGCTAATTGAATATTTCCAATTGCGCTTTCCATCTGCTGGCGCGGAGCAGCGCTTTGGCACACGCAACGCGTAATGGTAATGCGCTTCTGTGAGTCCTGGCTGGAAGTTGCTAAATAGTTTTGAGACTCTGAAACATTTTTTAATTCTAAACAGTGACAATAACGAGTTGTGTGGAAATGCATGGACTGTTCTTATACATTATCTTTGCAATTTAAGGAAAAAAGGTTTTCGACTTAATATTAATATTTCTGCTGAGGTCCCGCGTGCACGATCCATATATCCTGGTGTAAGTGGTACTGAAAATGAAAAACCTCAAATGTCAAGAGTGCTTAAGAATGGACTTGGAGTAATCGTTCTGAATGCGTGGCGATCTACACTGACATCAAGAAACATACGTGCAACAACTAATGATCAAACATGCGAAAACACAAAGCAAGACTTTCTAATCCTGGCCTATATAGTTCATTCTTGCTGCTTTCTTGACTATTTTCCTGTTTCATGTACCTGCTTTCCCACAAGTTAAATATCCTGTCTACCAACAGTGCCTTTTTTTTTGTCTTGCTCTGGCTTCCTCTTTCTTTAGCCACATATATATTTATGTCTCCCAGTTGCTGGTTTGTGGATGCCAGCTGAAATTCCAGATTCCCGCTGTATTTAACTGGGGATTCCCCAATGTGCCAAATTACAATGACTTTCTCTAGTAAGCACTGCAGCATGAATGAAGAAGATGAGCTGTGTTTCGCTCCTTGGGTTTCACTCAATTCAGCAGCTGGTTGCACTCTCTGTTTTCACAAATCAACTTCAGGTTTGTTCTTTTGCACATGCTCAGTAATGTCCTAGTAAGTAGCCAATTACCTTTTATAAGACACCCTGGGACATGAGGGAGAGTAGCATGACCTGTCGTGCTGGCTTTAGGCTACCAGTGTAGTCTACAGCATCCTATAAACTTTTTTCTTTCCCTTCACTACCATAGATCAACTTTCACCCCCCCCCCCCC